CGGTAGCTCACACTTGTAATCTCAGCACTTTGGGAGGCCGAGGCAGGAGGACCGCTTGATCCCAGGAGTTCAAGACTAGCCTGGCCAACATGGCGAAACCCCGTCTCTACCAAAAATATGAAAATTAGCCAGGCATGGTGGCATGCCTGTAGTCACAGTTACTTGGGAGACTGAGCTGGGAAGATAGCTTGAACCCAGGAGGTGGAGGCTGCAGTGAGCCATGACCAAACCATTGCACTCCAGCCTGTGTGACAGAGTTAGACCCTGTCTTAACAAGTACAACAAAAAAACAAACCTACACATGGCCAATGGCTGTCGTATTAAAGCAGATAACAAATATTTCCATCATCATAGAAAATTCTACTGTGCAGTGCTATTCTAAAGAACCTAGAGCAGAGCCTGGCAAATGGTAGATTTCTCATTTTACCTGGCAAATAGTGACAAATCACAAACATAATCATAATGCTATTTTAACTTCTCTCACCACTTTTCTAGGAAAGAAAAATTCTGTCCGTTAAAAACCAAACACTGCATGTTCTCACTCATAGGTGGGAATTGAACAATGAGAACACTTGGATACAGGGTGGGGAACATCACACACTGGGGCCTGTCCTGGGATGCGGGGAGCGGGGAGGGATAGCATTAGGAGATATACCTAATTTAAATGACGAGTTAATGGGTGCAGAACACCAATATGGCACATGTATACACATATGTAACAAACATGCACGTTGTGCACACATACCCTAGAACTTAAAGTATAATAAAAAAATTAAAATAAAATTCTATCCTTTAACACTTATAACAATATAAATCATTCAGGCTAAGGTCCAAAACTACATTTATTGATGTACAATATTTTAACTATTCCCAATTTAAATTTTTCTTATAACTGACATTAACATTTGGAGAGCAAAAAAGAGAGAAGGAAGCAGCAGCAACAGCAACCAACCTACTAACACTTGATTGAAAGGCATTAGGGTACGTCCACTTTTTCCAAGTGGTTTAAAATATAAGGCGTGGATTTCGTTCTACCCTGGCAACCTCATTTTTCCTACCCTTAACCTAGATCCTAACAAAGTGGTGTAAAAATCTGGTAACATCCTCAAACTTTTAGATAAACAAATAGCATCAACAGTAGGCAAAGGCCATAATTTTCTAATGACTTAATTTTCCAAATAAGTTAAAACAGTTTGTAAATACAAAAAAACAAACAAACAAAAAAACAGCTTCTGGTAAACACAAGTCTTCCTTAAACTCTTACATACGGCCGGGGGCAGTGGCTCATACTTGTAATCCCAGAACTTTGGGAGGCCGAAATGGGCGGAACACTTGAGGTCACTAGTTCAAGACCAGCCTAGCCAACATGGTGAAACCCCATCTCTACTAAAAATACAAAAAAAAATTAGCCGAGTGTGGTGGCAGACGCCTGTAATCCCAGCTACTTGGGAGGCTGAGGCATGAACCCAGGAGGTAGAGGTTGCAGTGAGCCAAAATCACACCACTGCACTCCAACCTGGGCAACAGAGCAAAACTCTGTCTCAAAAAAACAAACAAATAAAATAAAATAAACTCTTACATAGTATATATCACATTAAATTCACTCTGTCCTTTTTCTAGACAAATTATCAGCAAGAAACACTATGCAAGCATTTTGACTAACTTATGACAATGCTTTAGTCAGAAAACAGTAGAGTAATATTGGAAAAAAAAAAGAAGGGAAAAATATACAAAAAAACCCTGAATTTTAGAGATCAACTAGACTAGATCAAGCCAGGCAAATCCGCTGCAGAAACTCTAAAATTTTTGCAAACTTATGTGTAAACCAGGTTTCCATTAAAAAATTAAGGAAAAAAAAAGTTTATTTTGAAATACAAACTGACTGCATTTCCTACATAAGTTTATCATAACAAGTACAGTACAACTAACAAAGTAGCAGCTCAAAAGTTGAATGCTGCAGGAATGATTTAACAAGTTACCAAGTGGCCAGGAACAGTGGCTCAGGCCTGTAATCCCAGCATTTTGGAAGGCCAAGGCAGGTGGATCACTTGAGGTTGGGAGTTTGAGACGAGCCTGACCAACATGGAGAAACCCCATCTCTACTAAAAATACAAAATTAGCCAGGCGTGGTGGCACATGCCTGTAATCCTAGCCACTCGGGAGGCTGAGGCAGAACTGCTTGAACCCGGGAGGCAGAGGTTTCGGTGAGTCGAGATCATGCCACTGCCCTCCAGCCTAGGCAACAAGAGCGAAACTCCGTCTCAAAAAAAAAAAAAAAAGAAGTTACCAACCTAGCAACACTTGATTACATACAGCACACACATCACATTAAAAGTCCAACGTTTCCTTTATCAGGGCAAAAAAAAAAAAAAAAATCTTAAAATCAAAAGCACTAACTTACTATTGAATCTCAAGAAACTGAAGCAATTTCAAAAAATCAATACTATCCTTTTGGTCAGTAATACTTTCTTCATTCCTAACGTATGAGAACAATAAGGACATTTTAGCTCCTTTACTTTTCTTTCATTTAGTGATTTTCACATTTCTCTCACATGTAACTTATTAACAGATCTACAGCACTGTGATTTTAGCAATGAACTTACAGGTTTTTGCCCCACTAACACTACCACAAAAAAATATTTAAGATGTTTAATCAAAAATTGCTATTCTATGGATGGTTAAACACACTGTGGTACATCCATATCATGGAATACTACTCGGCAATAAAAAGGAATAAACTATTAGCTGGATGTAGTAGCCCTGTAGTGATCCCAGCTACTGCAGAGGCTGAAGAGGGAGGAGTGCTTGAGCCCAGTAGTTTGAGGTTACAGTGCCCTACTGATAGAGCCTATAAACAGTCACTACACTCCAGCCTGGGCAACAGAGGAAGACTCTATCTCTAAACCCAAAAAGTTGTATACTGTATGATTATTTTTAGTAAACACACTGGGAATGGCAAAATTATACAAATGCAGGACATGTACTGATTGCTGGAGCCTGCAGCAAGAGGGGATGGGAGTGGGGTGGGACAGATGTTGGATGTGGTTCTAAAAGGGCAACAGAGGGGTACTTTGGACTGAGGGAACTGTTCTGTAGCCTAATTGTAGTGGTGCAATCTATACATGGGATAACTGCACAGAAGTAAATACAGTCAGCTCTCATTATCCTTGGTGTCTGCATCCATAGGTAAAAACTATTTTAAAAAAGCACAATAAAAAATACAAATTTTAAAAATACAGCATAACTATATAACATTAATATTGCATTAGGTATTATAAGTAATCTAGAGATATTTAAAGTGTACAGGTGATATGCATAGGTTATATGCAAATACTACACCACTTTATATAACAGACTCAAACACCTGCAAATTTTGGAATCTCGCAGGATCCTGAAATCAACCCCCGACAGATACCAAAGGATGACTGCACCCGCGTGCGCGAGCACTCACACGCATGTACAAGTAAACTGGGGATATGTGAATAAGATTGGTGGATTGTATCAATGTTTAATAATGAACCATGGTTTTGCAAGGTGTTAGTGTTAGGAAAACTGAGTAAAGTGCACTGTATTATTCCTTAAACTATATGATTATACAGTCTTCTCAAAATTAAAAGTTTTATTTAAAAAGTGCTAACACTCAAGAAAACCTTAATATGAACCAGATAATAGACAATATTAGAGAATGACTGTTAAAGTATACAAGACGATGTCCTTATTCTTAGGAGATGCTTGTTGAAGTATTTAGAGATGAAATTTTTTGTTTTTGAGACAGTCTCGCTCTGTTGCCCAGGCTGGAACTGCAACCTCCACCTCCCAGGTTCAAGCGATTCTTGTGCCTCAGCCTCTCTAGTAGCTGGGACTACAGGTGCACACCACCATGGCTAATTTTCGTATTTTTAGTAGAGACAGGAGTTCACTACGTTGGCCAGCCTGGTTTCGAACTCCTGACCTCCAGTGATCCATCCGCCTGAGCCTCCCAAAATGCTGGTATTACAGGTATGAGCCACTGTGCCCAGCCTAGAGATAAGTTTTATGTCTACAACTTACTTTTATACAAATGTATATAAACATATACATAGTGAGAAAACATATATGGCAAAATATCAAGTGTTAAATTTAAGTAAAGGTTTAGGAGTGTTCCTTGTTCTCTCAACTTTTCTTTTTTTTTTTTCAAAATAAAGAACTGTGAAGAAGAGGTTAAAGATAAATTGTTATTATAAACTTATGTTATAGTTCTACCTGCACACCAATTAGTCTTTTTAACGGTTTAAAAGTAACTTTTTTCCTAGAACTATTTTACAGTTCCACCTACACTCTTAGTCTTAAAAGAAAACAAAACAAAATGCCAATAAGAATTTCAGGGTAACAGTTTTCCGACACTGGATGTGACGTTCTAATATTTTTCAACGTGAATTCACTAAATCTGTAAGGCATATGGACACTTTTGTAATATCAAAGTTAGTTCAAATGGATGATTATTTATTTCTAGAAACACTGAATCCCTAGAGTTGTTCTACTTTTCAAACAGGTGAAATAAATTATAACTGCAGGGGAAAAGGTTAACATTTTCACACACACATCCTAAATTTTAAAAGTCTGAAATTTGGCAAACACAGTTAATTCTATCATAAGGAAAAGTTTGCGTGAAAGGGGCAAGCCACATACTAAATGCCAAACAAAAAATGTACTACAATGTGTTAATTATAGTTCCCAGGCTACAGGACGTATTTTAAAATGTAAACAGTCCCAACAAACATCAATGCATTTATAGTTTTAAAAAATGCAAACTGCACACATTTGAAATGTAGGGAATAAGTCTGAGTTAGCGTCAACAAAATCCTTCTCAAAAGTTCTTATATTCTCTTTTCTCTGGTGAGTTTTTGCATGTGTTAATACACTTCAGTGTATAAGAAAAGTCTAGGTCTGGAACGTTTCAACTAAAGACTCAACTTTTTACTTCCTACCGAACCGCCCCCTCGCCAATGGGCCCCACCTCCCGAGAAGAGTGACGGGGTGGGGCTGTTTCCCGCTCGGAAACTAAGAAATAAATGCCTCATCCCTACTCCAGAAACGAGAGAAAGAGGGAGGCAGAGGCACCGAAGACTCCAGTATGCAACTGACTACAAGGAGGTAGTCGTTTGAAAAGCTTTCTTTCCTTCTCTGAACTCTTTCTTTCCCTCCTCTCAGGTCATTTGACCCCGGGCCGGGCGGAGACAGGTGAATCCCAAGAGAGGAGGAAGAGGGAGGGACAGATGATGGAGGGAGAACCGCGTTTAGGCAATGAATGAGCCTGCTGCATCCGCACCACCTGTTCCTTCCAAGGGTGCCACCCCGGCCTGCCGGCAGGGTTCCCACACCAACCGGGCCGCGACTCCTGCCGGTGTTGCCCACTTGCCCGCCAAAGGCCGGGCCTCTCCTCCCCCAGATCGGGGAGAACGAGAACCGGCAGTCTAGAAGCCAGGAGATCGGGGCCTAGTCCGGAACCAGGGCCTCAAGCGTGGGGATGGAAGGAAGAAGGCTGTGGTCCCTGGCGCGCGGGCCATAGTAGGAACCACAGAGAGGGGGCAAAGCAATGCATTCGGTCTGACGAGGACTATGAAGGCGGGGTCCCGGGCGGGAGTGGCTCAGTGCCCGCCGGGCCGAGGTTAGGGGTGACAGGCCCGGTTACCGGCTAAATCCTCCCCACTGCTTGCCTGGAGCCTCACACTTACCAAGATCCGCTTGAAGAGCGCATTCTCCTTGGGCGGGAGGCTCACGGCCGGCATCGTTCCGGCTGCTCCTGCTGCTCCCGCCACCACCCGGCTCGGTCAGTCAGTTTGTCCGACCGTCGCCGCTGCCGTTCCCTAGCTCCTTCAGCCTTGAATATACCGATCCGCTGCCACCACCAGGCCTCGGGTGTCGCCGCGTTGCCCTACCCGGACACCTCCTTTTTCCTCGTTGTCTTTTTTCCTTTCTCACTTAACGCTGCCGCCGCCTCCCCCACTACGGGTCTCCGTCGGCGGTTCACGTGGTAACTGAACAGACCGACAGAGGCAGCCAAAATGGCGGACGCGGAGGGCTTTCCCACCCGGGTCACACCTCCTAACACGCAGGCGCGGTGACCTCCTTTCCCCACCTCCTCTGGGTTTCGGAGCTTGCCGGGAAACCTGGAGGCTGGCCCGCCTGTGGAGGCCGGGAGGGTCCGGGCAGGCCCCGCCCATCCTTTCAGTGCGTGGTGCCCTCGAAGCGCCCGCGGAGCTACGGGAGGCTAGGCAAATACGATTCAGACCGCCTCCTCATCAAAAATAGCCTCTCTGGCGCCTTCCTGCTAGATTGACCTTTCATTCATTGGAAAGAGTCTCGCACACTGTGTGATAATCGTTTGAGCCCAAAGCGCTAAAATACAGGTGTAGGTGTTTGAGAAGCACTGTAGTTGATTATGGACAAAATGCCTAATTTAAGGAGCAGAGGCGGAGTGGAAAATGAAAAAAGCTTCCCCGCAGTGGAGACTTATTAACAGCCCTGGAGAGGAAGGGGCTTAATAGAGTCTGAAAAGCGTGAAAGAGCTTGACCAATGCAATGGGCCTGGCTGTCTTATCGGTAATTTGGTGAATGTTGCTTAAGATCAGCCTGGAAAGGTAGTTAGCCAGATCCGAAGTGACATATTTGTACCGCCAAAGGAGCCTCTGGAGGTTAAAGTATGTGTTTTAATTTCGTTGTTGAGGCCATATAATGCAGAGTTGACGGACCAACCTTACGAGGCACCTTGGAGTGGAGTGGTGGAGAGTTAAAGACACTGACTTTACCCTGGAGCTGGCTTCAAACTAGTGCTTAATATCGTGACTCGAACTCCCCATCCCCAGAAATGCTCAGATCTTAGAAGAAAAAGACTGGCAAGGATACTAGAGAGAACTACTCGAGTAGGTGAGGTCAGACTAGATACTGAATAGGACCCCTTCCAAAAATGTAAGTCATTTCATTAACAGGTGACAGTAAAACTTTGTCAAAGTGGCATTCCATTGATCTTAAAATTTTCAAGTTATATGAGCCACTTTTAACCTTTGGTTTTTGATTACCTCTTTCCAAATCCTGATTTCACTCTGTAGCATTATTTGCATTACGAATTATTAAACAATATGTTATGTGCGTGTTTTTTACTCTTTTAAATTTATTTACAAAGACATTTTAATTTTCAAACTCCTCTTAACTGTCCCTGAAAGGTGTGAGTTGAGAAATGTTTCCCAACATAAACTTGGGTTTTCTAGCTGCTATATTGATTGTCCTCTCCCTTCACCAGGGTCATAAATAAGGTTTTTAACAGTCAAATCCTGGAGTTTCCTTAAATTCTGTGATCTCTCTTCAAAATTTTGAGAAAATCATATGTACAGGAAACAATGTTTCAGTTTGAAATATGGCCAGTCTTTTAACCTTAACTTTATAAAACTAAGGGCAAGCTTATAATTCATTTTTAAGCTGTTATTTAATAATAACCTGCAAAAAGTCACTGCCTCAAGAGGTCTTTCAACTGTCTGAACTATTGAAAGACAGAAAAATAGTCTAAATGTAGTTGATAATTTTAGCTTGGATTTCCAAATCTCTGGCTTCATATCCAAAAATCCCCACAGCAATACTATTTGCTATAGTTCTCTAAATTTCTCCTGTAAAGAATATTCTATTTTCCTTCAGAGGAAAAAAATGTCTGGTCTTTGAAACAATCAGTAGTTTCCACCAGAACCTTAGTACCTGATTAGATGAGCCAGAAATAGAGTTTGGCAAATGTTACATTCTTTTTGGGTGATGACAAACAAATGGCAATTTTAAAGGCTCGGCAAATACTAGTCTGATTCAACATTTAACTGATTGATTTCCTAGTTAAAATGCACCTACAGGTAACAGTCTGACCACACAGTAACCTGAACTGAATAAAAAAAAAATATTTACTCTGATTACCACAATTTCACAAATAGAGATCCCATTTGAGTTATACTTTGACAGCCATGCTTTCAGAACGTTAACATATCCAAGGCTATATGCTGTGGCTGCTGCTGCTGCTGCTAGTTAATTCATCTTACCCCATGTGCTTGCATGTCACTATGTTCAAAATGCCAACTCTAAAAACTATTAACCAAAAAGAAAGAAATGAAATCATTTACCTTGCAAACTTTAATTCTACAAAAGGGATATGTAGAGTGAAATTTCTCCATATACGTAAGATGTTCTCTATTGAGACTGTTACATCTTATTAAGTATTTGGGGCCGGGCGCGGTGGCTCAAGCCTGTAATCCCAGCACTTTGGGAGGCCGAGACAGGCGGATCACGAGGTCAGGAGATCGAGACCATCCTGGCTAACCCGGTGAAACCCGTCTCTACTAAAAAAATACAAAAAACTAGCCAGGCGAGATGGCGGGCATAAACCCAGGAGGCGGAGCTTGCAGTGAGCTGAGATCCGGCCACTGCACTCCAGCCTGGGTGACAGAGCGAGACTCCCTCTCGACAAAAAAAAAAAAGGAAAAAAAAAAAAAAAGTATTGGTCTTACTTTAAAAAAAAGCCTGGAATTGTGGTGGCTCACGCCTGTAATCCCAACACTTTGGGAGGCTAAGGCAGGCACGCCTGTAATCCCAGCACTTTGGGAGGCTAAGGCAGGCGGATCACAAGGTCAGGAGTTCAAGACCAGCCTGACCACCATGGTGAAACCCCGTCTCTACTAAAAATACAAAAATTAGCCAGGTATGGTGGTGCGCGCCTGTAATCCCAGCTACTCAGGAGGATGAGGGCAGGAGAATCGCTTGAACCTGGGAGGCAGAGGTTGCAGTGAGCCAAGATCGTACCACTGCACTCCAAAGCAAGACTCCCTCTCAAAAAAAAAAAAAAAAAAAAAAAAAAAAAAGGCCAGGCATAGTGCCTCATGCCTATAATTCCGGCACTTTGGGAGGCTGAGGCAGGAAGATAGTTTGAGACCAACCTGGGCAACATAGTGAGACCCCATCTCTGCAAAACAATTTTAAAGTTTGCCAGGTGTGCTGCTGTGAGCCTGTAGTCCCAGCTACTTGGTGGGCTTAGGTGGGAAGATTCCTTCAGCCCCAGAGGTCAAGACTGCAGTGAGCTGTGATGACACCTTTGCTCTCCAGCCTGGGCAACAGAGCTGAGACCTTGTTCCAAAAAAAATAAACAACATAAAAGAAATTCATGTATTTGTCACCTAGATTTAACAAATGTTAACAATTTGCCTTTGCTTCTGGGTGTTTGTGTGTGTGTGTAGACAGGATTTCTCAATGTTGCCCAGGCTACTCTTGAACTCCTGGGCTTAGGCGATCAACCCACCTCAGCCTCCCAAAGTGCTGGGATTATAGGTGTAAGCCCCAAAACCTGGCCTGCTGCTGAGTCTTAAAAAATAAAAACTTATAGATACATCTTGGTGTGTGGGGAGGTGGGAGGTTGTTGGTTTTTTTCTTTTCTTTTGTTTTCTTTTGTTTTTGTGACAGGGTCTCACCGTGTCACCCAGGCTGGAGTGCAGTGACACAATCTTGGCCTACTGTAGCCTCAACCTCCCAGGTCCAAGCGATCTTCCTCCCTCAGCCTCCCGAGTAGCTGGAACCACAGACGTGCACCACCACACCCAGCTAATTTAAAAAAAATATATTTTGTAGAGATGTTTATCTACCTAGGTTGCACAGGCCAGTCTTGACCTCCTGGACTCAAGCAATCCATTTGCCTTGTTCTCACAAAGTGCTACGATTAGAGGCCTGAGCCACTGTGACTGGCTCAAGTCCTAAGTTTGATTCATAGTATTCTCATGCATGCTATATCAATAAACATATGTGGTTTTTTGGGGGGTTTTATTGTTTTGGTTTGGTTTTTTGTTGTTGTTGTTGTTGTTTGCATTTTATACAGTTTTTCAATTCTTGCTCTTTCTTTACCTTCCTTGGGAGATGTGATTTTTTTTTTCCCAGTGGAAAAATCTTGGACTAAAACTTTGCATTTCTGGCTGCTAACTCAAATCCTCTCTCTTTTCACCTGGATCATAAATAAGATTTTAGTATTCAAATTCTGAAGATGCTTACATGAATGTTATGAAGAAACTTCTAACAAAATATTATAGATATTAGTTCCTAGCTGGAATTACTTAATCAGGATTCTTTCCAAGATGGAGTTTCACATACAGCTGCATACTCCATACTCCAAGTGTACAGTTCCCATAAGCTCTAATATGCTGAGAAAAATGTGCTTTTACTTCATCACTTTCCCAAAATACACACTAGTAAAAGGCTACAAGGGCCAAAGCTCTGAAAAAGAACAAAGCAGTCTTTCCCAACAGCAGTACCGAAATTAGTAATTTGCTTACTGGTTCTGTATACTCTGACTAAAGGTAGCATCTGTTTCAACTTGTTGGATACTAGCAAAAGCTTCGTCAGGACAAGCTTCCAAAGGATGGTGTAGAAAGGATATACAACTGACAGATTGCTGAGTGGACAAGAAGCCAATAAGTTGAGAACCAACAACTGGCTCAGCACATTCGTTGCGTAATTTACTTACTTGAGCATGAGTCCAGGAGGCTTAAACTAGGTTACAAACTAAAGTGACTCACAATTTAGCAATCCATTTAGCCACCATTTGCATGTTAAAATGAGCCAGAAAACACAGTACAATTAATTGACTTTCTGGTCAATAATTTTTGGTTAAAAAAAAGATTTTAAAATAACATTGCTAAAGAGAATATAGGAGATTTGCTAACATTTATTTTGGTTTTAAAATTCATGACATAAGGTTTAACGGATTACTTTTAAAAGGTCAAAATGTATTGTCTGTTACCTATAAATATTTTTACTAGTCTTTAGACATCAGATTGAACTGAATTGAATGTACAAAGATCGGGCTCAATTGTGCAAGATAAAACCTATTCCTCAGAACAATGTTTTTAATAAGCAAAACCAAATAAATTGTTTACTACTACCAGAGAGTTGTTTAAGCTTCTCAACGACCCTATAGGTTTTATGTTACAGATGTAAAACTTAGGTATAGAGAGGTTAAGTAATTTGCCTCTTACTAGGTTAAGAAATCATAGAGCTAAAAAGTGGTGAGCAGAATGGCTTTGAACGCTGATTCTACAGCTTATGGTCTAGGGTGGTCCAAGTCTGTTAGGTGAGCTGACGAGGATCACTAGATCTGGGGTCAGAAGACCTCAAACTGTATCCCACCTCTGCCATCTATGTGATCTTGAGCCTATCCAAGGCACTAATTCTACTTCACAGGTTTGTGAGGCTTCAGTATGATCGTGAGTGTAAATGGTAAGTGTTAAGAAATCTTTTCAACTGTATAAAATATGTCACCTTGGGTGAGTAGCTGTCTTTAAGCTTTATCTGTAAATTGAGGCTTATAATCACGGCATGATATGTACTCATTGTGAAGATGAAATAAGGCAGTGAATGTAAACCATATGATACATTAATGCACCGTGCCTGGACTACAGAATTCGATCCAAGCGCTAGTTATTATTCAGCACGACACTTTTTTTTTCTGGCTCATGCAGGAAAATTTTAATAAACCTCTTGATGAATAGCCGTAGAGATGGGGTGAAAAACCCCCAGAGGACAGAGAATAGATAAATTCTTTTTTCTTTTAATTACTTTCTTCCTAATTCCACTGTATAGACAGAAGGCTGAGGCCTGGGTGCTAGAGAACCTTGCGGTGCTGGAACTCACGTTGACGCCCCCACGGAGCTCGGCTGCAGAGCCCTGGAGTCCCGCACTTCCGCCCGCCAGGTGGCGCTGGTTCTGTTGCCGACTCGGAGAGACTGAGCCTGGCCACGCAAGATGGCGCCGTCCGCGTTGCTGCGTCCCCTCTGTCGGCTGCTGGCCCCTGCCAGGCTCCCGAGCGGCTGTGAGTGTCCATCCTCGTGCAGGCCGACTCTACCCTCAGATTACCCCTCCTAAGGCGGACCCAGCCCACGGGTGCAGGAGGCGGCAGCGGCCCGGGTTCGTCCTGCAGTGACCTTCGCCGGCCGTCGACCCAAGGCCCAGCCCGCGCCTGTCCCCTACGCAAGACTCTCCGCTCCCCATCACCCGCCTTCAGCACTTATCCAAGTGCAACCTGAGCACTCTTGGCCTCTGTAAATGGGCTTTGGGTCTCTGCCTTCCCCACCTCTGTACGTTCGGTCCCGTAGACTGGGAGAGGAGACACCCTTCCCGGGGCGCCTCCTACATGACCACTCCCGAGTCGTCTGAGGGTCCGCAAGCCCTTAAATGAGGCCTTGAAGGCCTCGGGCAGGACAGGTGCTACCTGTCTAACTCTCCCAGTGGCCCTGGGCGAAGTACTTGACCTCCCTGAACCGCTATTTCCTTGGCTGTTTAAGTGGGAGATGGGGGAGTTAAAGGGAGAATTAAATGCGATAATACGCACGTAAATGTTAGGGTTTTTTCCCTACAAGGCAGTAAGTTACAGATTTACAGACTCTGCCCCTTTCAGCTTCAGCGCGGTCAAAGTTCTACGTGCGAGAGCCGCTGAATGCCAAACCTAACTGGCTGAAAGTTGGGTTGACCTTGGGCACCACCGTCTTCTTGTGGGTCTATGTAAGTACTTTACTCCCGGATGTCGTGAGACTACGCCAGCGTGGTAAGGGAATGAGATAACATTGCGAGATTGAATGGTGCTGTTACGTTGTATGACAGTGAAAGTCTCACAACAGGAGGATATTTATATAATTGCTGATACATATTTGTCCAAAAGGGAAATCTCCAGGACTAAAAAGAAATTAAGATTTCAGCAACATTGAGAAAGTATGATGGGACTAAAATTTCTGTTATTGTTCCTTAACATGGTTTTGTAAGGAATGGCAGTTTTACTAAATAGTAATTATACTTTATTTCTTAATGAGAATTGAGGCTAATTGGAGTTTTATAAAGGTACCTTTTTCAGATGCTGTAGGGTCAAACCAGCAGTGTACAAGTTGTACAAATTGAATCCCAGTAGACTTTCAAAACATTAGGTTTTAATCAATGTTTGTATAAATACATTGCTGGAAATTATACATAGTGTGTAGCTACCTTTTTAAAAAAATTTTCAGGCCGGGCGCAGTGGCTCACGCCTGTAATCCCAGCACTTTGGGAGGCCGAGGTGGGCGGATCACGAGGTCAGGAGATCCAGACCACTCTGGCTAACACAGTGAAACCCCGTCTCTACCAAAAATACAAAAAAATTAGGCGGGTGTAGTGGCGAGAGGCCGAGGTGGGCAGATCACGAGGTCAGGAGATCGAGACCATCCTGGCTAATACAGTGAAACCCCGTCTCTACCAAAAATACAAAAAAAAATTTAGGCTGGTGTAGTGGCGAGCGCCTGTAGTCCCAGCCACTCGGGAGGCGGAGGCGGGAGAATGGCTTGAACCCGGGGGACTGAGCTTGCAGTGAGCGGAGATATCGCCACTGCACTCCAGCCTGGGCTACAGAGCCAGACTGTCTCAAAAAAAAAAAAAAAAATTTCACGCCGTATGCTTTACACATAAACTTGCGTTTAATCATTTCAACAACACTATGTGGTACCTAATACTGTTGATCTGTTACAGATAGGAAACACACTTGGAGAAACTAGTTTGCTGAACCCAGTTCTCCTGACTTCAGAGGCCACACTATCCTATAAAGCACTGTGAAACACTGCCTCTGTAGGAATAAAATTTGTTTTTAAAGTTAAAGTATCTGCTATATTAATATTTAAAATTTTGTTTTTTATCTGATGGGTTTGGGGCTTCCTCCACTGTCCCCCAGCTCTTAGATATTTTAAATTGTCTTGTTAAAGTGGTTCAGATTGTTGACTTGGAAAGGGGTGAGATATTGAGTCACTCACAACTTAATAGTAACTCATCTTTTTGAATGATGTTACTTATAATGAATTTTATACATTCTTAATTTAAGGTTTTCTCTAACAAAAAGCTTGATTACTGCTGAGAGCACTAGTGATTGAACTTGGATCTTTGATTGCCATGAATGTCATTGTATATAAACCGTTTTTCCAGTTGCATATTCTGTCAGACAGTGGTTCTAAAAATGTGACTGTCCTCCATAACATCTAATTAATACACATACAGTTTTGTGGTGGGGTTGGTCATTCAATCAAAGTATCACACTTCTAAGATTAGAAGCATAACATGTACCCACCAACCAGCCTGGATCCCATTTAATAACCAAAGTCTACTATATCATATTGATTTACCCCTTTGTGATAAGCCATTTCATTACATTTATTACCCACCAAATAAGGTAAAATTTTTTGGCAGTATTGAATTCTGTTGAATTCAAATTTTTGGCTGGGCACAGTGGCTCACGCCTGTAATCCCAACACTTTGGGAGGCCAGGGTGGGTGGATCACCTGAGCTCGGGAGTTCGAGACCAGCCTGACCAACATGGTGAAACCCTATCTCTGCTAAAAATACAAAAATTAGACATGCGTGGTAGCAGGCGCCTATAATCCCAGCTATTCAGGAGATTGAGGCAAGAGAATCACTTGAACCCGGGAGAAGGAGGTTGCAGTGAGCCGAGATCATGCCATTGCACTCCAGCCTGGGAGACGAGCAAAATTCCGTCTCAAAATAAATAAATAAATAAATAAATATTTACAGTCTCCCTTCTCAAATTTAGTATGTCAAATTGTGGTGAGCAAGTATATACCTTTCCTGATTTTTGAACTTTTGGATTGCTTAGCCTTTTATTTCTAACTAGAATAATTGTTTATTTTTTCTATTCTTATTCCTCTTACAAAATATAAGTATCCAGGAAGATTACATTTCTAATTTTAACTGTTTAACTCTTTGTAGCTCATCAAACAACACAATGAAGATATTTTAGAGTACAAAAGAAGAAATGGGCTGGAATAAACTTTTGAAATACTAACACAGTAAGTATACAAGTTTATTGGATGAATGGATTATGCAAATTAACTTGACCTCTTTTTTAAATACTGAAAAACAAGTTGTTGTTTGTTTTGTATTAGGTTTTTACATTTTAGCACCCGCATTTCTGTCTGAGACAAATTTATAAATTTGTAATACCTTACCTCAAGCAGCTGGTTTTGTTTTGGGGGGTTTGGGGTTTTTTGGTCTGTTGTTTGTTTGTAGACCTGTTCGCCAGGCTGGTCTCAAACTTCTAGCCTCAGGTGATACTCTTGCTTCAGCTTCTCAAAGTGTTGGAATTGTAGGGGTGAGCCACTTTGCTAGCCTCAAGAATCTTTTAGCATGATCATTTTTAATCACTACTCTTTGACTCTGTTTAAAGAAAGGTATGTTTAAGAATGAAACCAAAATCATATTATTTTCTTAAATCTAATAGTGCTTTACACTTTGCTTTCATAGCACTTATGACAAATTATTATTCTTTGTGTATTTCTTAATATCTGTTTGGTATCTTGTACACTTGAGTGTGAATTCCATGAGAACAGAAACCTATTTTATTGTCATTTATTCAGCAACTTGCTCATCTGGTCCATTTAGGAGTTTAATATTTGTAGAAGTGATGAATGTATAAGGGCAATCGATTCATTTTATTTTTTATTTTTGAGACGGAGTCACCAGGCTGGAGTGCAGTGGCACAATTTTGGCTCACTGCAACCTCCGCCTCCCGGGTTCAAGCAATTCTCCTGCCTCAGCCTCTCAAGTAGCCGGGACTACAGCCACGCGCTACCACGCCCAGCTAATTTTTGTATTTTTAGTAGAGACAGGGTTTTACCACGTTGGCCAGGATGATCTCGATCTCTCGACCTCGTGATCTGCCCGCCTCGGCCTCCCAAAGTGCTGGGATTATAGGCGTAAGCCACTGCACCTGGCCAGGGCAATCAATTTTTACATTTTTGTCCGTATGACTATTTCGTTATGATTGTCAACTCAACTAATATCCAATTGGACAGTTTGTGGTAAAAACCTAGTTGTGAACATGATACATGCCCAGCTAATTTTTGTATTTTCAGTAGAGACGGGGTTTTGCCATATTGGCCAGGATGATCTCCATCTCTTGACCTCATGATCTGCCCACCTCGGCCTCCCAAAGTGATGGGATTACAGGTGTGAACCACTGCGCCTGGCCAGGGCAATCAATTTTTAAATTTTTTTCTGCATGACTATTTCATTATGATTGTCAACTCAGCTAATATCCAATTGAACAGTTCCTGGTAAAAACCTAGTTGTGAACAAGATAGCGTATTCTGCATGGTCCGTGATTTAAAAGAGAAAGTTTATTTTATATATAAAATATATACACCTGGCTGGGCGTAGTGGCTAAAGCCTGTAATCCTAACGCTTTGAGAGGCCAAGGGGAATGGATCACTTGAGGCAAGGAGTTACAGATCAGCCTGGCCAACATGGCGAAACCCCATCAATACTAAAAATACACAAAAACTAGCTAGGTATGGTGGTGCATGCCTGTAGTCCCAGCTACTTGGGAGACTGAGGCACAAGATTTGCTTTAACCCAGGAGGTAGAGGCTGGGAGGTTGCAGTGAGCTAATATTGGGCTACTGCACTCCAGCCAGCCTGGGCAACAGAACGAGACTCTGTCTCAAAAATAAATGAATGAATAAGTAAATAATGTATACATCTAATAGATATGTATCAAATATATGTAAGTATACCATATACAGTGTGTGTGTGTATATATATGGTATATTTCTGAAAACCTTTTTTTAAAAATCCTATATTAATCCTTTTATAAGTGCAAAGTCACTTAAAAATCTCAACTTTCATGATTGGGTTGATTAAAGTAAGTAACTTACATCTGCTGTATAATAAACATAGTGATCACAGACTGTCCTTTGTTTTCCATATTTTATAACTCTGAAACTGAGCTCTTTACGGTTGATAATCGAAATATTTTGCCTTTTTTCTATTAGCACCCTGCCCATTTCACTACTCCATTCAGCCAATCAAGAGATAAAAATGAGCTGGGCTTGGTGGCTCATGCCTGTAATCTCAGCACTTTGAGAGGTCAAGGCAGTGGGATAGCATATGCCCAGGAGTTTGGGCAACATAACAACTTCGTCTTTACCAAAAAAAAAAAAAAAAAGAGGTAAAAATGAAATAGGCATTTAAATACAAACCAGATGGCTTTTGCTATTCTTTCATAGTTAAGGCAAAATATTTTTTGTTAAAATTAAATAAAATCAGGTATTGGTACTCTTTGTGGGTTTCTTTTCTGATGTTCTAAGGTGAATTATTCAGAGTAGTTTAATTTTAATATTATTTCTGCTGGTTAATGCTACAGTTTTTTTTTTCTTCATTATAGGTATGCTCCGTATAGTGATTTTAGCTGTTCCTCTGGATTCACCATCTGTTGAGTTGTAAATGTGAGAGAAAAAGTTATATGTGAATATATACCAAGTCAGCATTTGTATTTTGCATCATTAAATAAAAAGAAATAAAAATACTTCTGTATTCTTCAGATAAAGCATATTGTGACAACTTGTAGAAAATGTTAATTCTAAGGTATATTAATAGAAGTATTTCAATATGGAAGGTACCACCTGATAAGAAGGTCAGTGGTCATTAAGGACACATTGGTAAGAAAAGTTGTTGTGAACATAGATTCAAAAATCAGGACTAGCTGGGCACGGTGGCTCAACGCCTGTAATTCCAGCACTTTGGGAGGCCAAGGCAGGCGGATCACCTGAGGTTGGGAGTTCGAGATCAGCCTGATCAACATGGAGAAACCCCGTCTCTACTAAAAATAAAAAAATTAGCTGGGCATGGTGGCACATGCCTGTAATCCCAGCTACTCGGGAGGCTGAGGCAGGAGAATCGCTTGAACCTGGGAGGCAGAGGTTGTGGTGAGCTGAGATCGTGCCATTGTACTCCAGCTTGGACAACAAGAGTGAAATTCCATCTAAAAAAAAAAGTCAGGGCTGAAGGATTTACTCTTGTTATCACCTTTTAATTTCTGATCAGAACATTTATTTAGTATATCAGGAAAGCAGAACTACCTTGTTACTCAAAAAACGTAGGGTCACAAAGATTGTTTTCTCTAGAGGAGTCATTTTGGTAGGTTAGAAAGGAAGGATGAATCCTGTTACCAGAGTTTTTCTGACTCTCTCCTTGAATTTGAATGATTTTTATTTGGGTGACTACTTGTACTCACTGTTATAGCAACACAAAATTTGTTGTCTTAAAGTTGCTAATACAACTTTAAGCCTATGATTTTGCAAACTCTGACTCTTGGTTTTTTGTTTGTTTGTTTTGGAGGGTTTTGTTTGGGGATTTTTGAGACGGCTTACTCCCAGGGTCAAGTGATTCTCTCACCTCAGCCTCCTGAGTAACTGGGACTATAGGTGTGTGCCACCATGCCCAGCTAATTTTTTTTAATTTTTAGTAGAGAGGAGGTCTGTCTATATTGTCCAGGCTGGTCTCCAACTCTCATACTCGAGTGATCTTCCCACCTCAGCCTCCCAAAGTGCTGGGATTACAGGCGTGAGCTGCCGCGCCCAGCAACTATTGATTTTTTTTAAAAAGGATGAAGGATTAATAGACAATTTTAAATATACATTTGACTTCCACAGTAGGAGCACCATAACTTTCAACTCCCCAAAACCTTAGCTATTACCAGGTACAGTGGTATGAGCCTATAATCCCAGCTATTCAGGAACCTGAGGCAGGAGGATCTCTTGAGCTCAGGATACAGTGCATTATGCTGATAGGATGTCCTCACTAATTTTGACATCCATATGGTGACCTCCCAGGAACGGGGGACCACCAGGTTGCCTAAAGAGGGGTGAACCGGCCCAGGTCAGAAACGGAGCAGGTCAAAACTCCCATGCTAATCAGCAGAGGGATCATGCCTATAAATAGTCACTGCACTCCAGCCTTAGCAACATAGCAAGACCTCATCTCTTTAAAAAAAAAAAAAAAGAAAACTATTAATAGCCTTTTGTTGACTGGAAACCTTATCAATAACAGTCGATTAACACATTTTGTATGCTATATGTATTATATACTGTTTTGTTTTATTTTGTTTTTTTGAGACAGTCTTGCTCTGTCACCCAGGCTGGAGTACAGTAGCACAATCTTGGCTCACTGCAACCTCTACCTCCTGGGTTGAAGCCATTCTCCCGCCTCAGCCTCCCCAGTAGCTGGGATTACAGGCATGCACCACCAGGCCCAGTTAATTTTTGTATTTTCAGTAGAGATGGGGTTTCACCATGTTCGCCAGGCTGGTCTCGAACTCCTGACCTTGTAATCCGCCCACCTTGGCCTCCCAAAGTGCTGGAATTACAGGCGTGAGCCACCACGCCCAGCCTATATACTGTATTCTTACAATAAAGTGAGTTAGAGGAAACAAAATGTTTTTTAAAACAACCTTAAGGGGCCAGGCATGGTGACTGAATCCTGTAATCACAGCACTTTGGGACACCGAGGCAGGCAAATCACTTGCTCAGTTCGAGACCAGCCTGGGCAACATGGCAAAATCCCGTCTTTACAAAAAAATAAATACAAAAATTAGCCAGGCATGGTGGATGATGCCTGTAGTCCCAGTTACTTGTGGGGCTGAGACAAGAGAATCTCTTAAGCCTGGGAAGCAGAGGTTGCATTGAGCCAGGATACCACTGCACTCCTTAAGGAAGAGAACATGTAATTTATTAAGTAGAAGTGGATCATCATAAAGGTCTTCATCCTCATTGTCTTCACACTGAGTTGGCTGAGGAGGAAGAGGAAGAGTTGGTCTTTCTGTCTTGGGTGGAAGAGGGAGAAGAAAATTCTGTATAAGTGGATCTATGCATAAGAACCTGTGTAGTTCAAAGTCGTTGTTCAAGGGTGAACTGTACTTCATTTGACCCTCAGGAAAGCCCTTTTCCTTTTTTTGAGACTGGATCTCCTCTTGCCCAGGCTGAGTGTGGTAATGCGATCACAGCTCAGTGCTACTTCAATTTCCTGGGCTCAAGTGATCCTCTCATCTCAGCCTCCCAAGTAGCTGGGACTACAAGGCCCATCCAGATCTGGCTAGTTGTTGTTTTTTTGAGACGGAGTCTGGTTCTGTCACCCAGGCTGGAGTGCAGTGGCTCGATCTCGGCTCACTGCAAACTCCGCCTCCTGGGTTCACGCCATTCTGCCTCACTCTCCTGAGTAGCTGGGACTACAGGCGCCCACCATCGTGCCTGGCCAATTTTTTGTATGTTTAGTAGAGATGGGGTTTCACCGTGTTAGCCAGAATGGTCTTGATCTCCTGACCTCGTGATCGGCCCGCATCGGCCTCCCAAAGTGCTGGGATTACAGGCGTGAGCCACCGTGCCCAGACTTTTTTTTTCTTAGACGGAGTCTCACCCTGTTGCCCAAACTGGAGTGCAGTGGTGCAATCTTGACTCACTACCACCTCCCCCTCCCGGGTTCAAGTGATTCTCCTGCTTTGGCCTCCTAAATAGCTGGGATTACAGGCGTATGCCACCACACCCATCTAATTTTTTTATTTTTAGTGCAAACAGGGTTTTACCATGTTGGTCAGGCTGGTCTTAAACTCCTGACCTCTTGATCTGCCCGCCTTGACCTCCCAAAGTGTGGGGATTACAGGTGTGAGCCACTGTGCCCAGCAATTTGTAATTGTTTTTGTAGATATGGGGTCTTGCTTTGATGCCCAGGCAGGTCTCAAATGCCCGGGCTCAAGCAATCTGCCTGCCTCTGCCTCCCAAAGTTCTGGGGTTATAGGTGTGAGCCACCAGCAAAACCCTTTATTGTGAATCACTTAAAACTTGTTTCAGTTGTCACTTCGTTAATTTGTAATTTAAACATTTATCTTGAATTATGTAGTTGGGCCCATTGTAATCACAAGATCCCTATAAGTGGGAGAGGGAGGCACAAGAATGTGTCAGAGTGATGTGATGTGAGAAAGAGTCTTCTTTGCCATTGCTTCTTTGAAGATGAAGCTAACAGCCAAGGTATGTCAAGAAAACAAATTCCCCCCTAGAGCCTACAAAAAGGAACACAGCCCTGCTAACACCTTGATTTTAGCCCACCTGTGTCAGATTTCTCACCTACAAAACAGTAAGATAATACATTTGTGTTTTTATAATAGTTTTGTTAGAGCAACAATATGAAGCTAATATGATTTGTCACATAGTAACAGAGTAAGAGTTCAAGTATCAACTACCAATTCAGGGCACTTTTCACTAAAACACTTAAAATTTCACATCTCTGAAGGGAATAGAAAACCAAGTTCCTGGCCGGGCGCAGTGGCTCAAGCCTGTAATCCCAGCACTTTGGGAGGCTGAGGTGGGTGGATCACGAGGTCAGGAGATCGAGACCATCCTAGCTAACACGGTGAAACCCCATCTCTACTAAAAATACAAAAAATTAGCCGGGCGTGGTGGCAGGCGCCTGTAGTCCCAGCTACTCGGGAGGCTGAGGCAGGAGAATGGCGTGAACCTGGGAGGCGGAGCTTGCAGTGAGCCAAGATCATGCCACTGCACTCCAACCTGGGTGAAAAAGCGAGATTCCGTCTCAAAAAAAAAGAAAACCAAGTTCCTGGCCATGAGGGAATGGGAGATCAGACAACTCTCATTATACCTGCTCCCTTTTGCACTTTAGATACAATAACTGACCAGCATAAATGTTAAAATTTAAAAACCCTTGAAATTTTGGAAACTTACAGCCTTGGAAATAAAGTACACCTTTAATGAACAGAACTTAGTGTACATTGGGCTTTGAGAATATAGCTACCTTGTGTTGTGTGGACCTTCCTCTTTTTTTTTTTTTTTTTTTTTTAATTTTCCTTGTCTTCGCACAACTGATGATGGACCTACCTCTTGATTATGCCCCTTTGACTCCAGGGAGCCATTCATAGAAGACCAGGGCTGTCCAAAAGAACTTCCCAATGATGGAATGTTCTGTGTGTGCTATCCAGTACAGTAGCCACTAGCCCCTTGTGGCTGTTAAGCATTTGGAATGTGATTAGTGTGACTGAATGTTTAGTATTATTTAACTAATTTTTTTTTTTTTTTTTCTGGAGATGGAGTCTCGCTCTATCACCCAGGCTAGAGTGTAGTGGTGCGATCTCAGCCCACTGCAACCTCCGTCTTCTGGGTTCAAGCAATTCTACCTCAGCCTCTGGAATAGCTAGGATTACAGGCACCCACCACCATGCCCAGCCAATTTTTGCGTTTTTAATTTTTAACGTTGGCCAGGCTAGTCTCAAACTCCTGACCTCAGGTAATCCGCCTGCCTCAGCCTCCGAAAGTGCTGGGATTATAGGCGTGAGCCACTGTGCCTGGCCTTAATTAATTTTCAATATATATTTGTTAATACATTTAAGAAAAAATGTTTTGTAGAGACAAGGTCTCATTGTTTTGCCCAGGCTGGTTCTCACACTCCTGGGCTCAAGCAGTCCTCCCGCCTCGGCATCCCAAAGTGCTGGGATGAACAGACCTAAGCCACCGCTCCAGCCTAACTTTAATTAA